GCCGGGTCCTGCTGCCCCTCCACGAGCCGGGCACCAGCTCTGCTCCCCAGGGAAGGATCTGCACCCACGGGCTCAGCCTGGCTGCCTTCCCTGCAGGGTCTGTCCTGTGAGGATGCTGCTGGGTAGCGCCTTCATCCCAGAGGGGTGGAGGCTGCAGCATCTGAGCCCAGGGGTGGCATTCAGGGTGGTGGGGAAAGGCTGCATCACTGCCCTGGGATGGCTGGGGCTCACAGCCCTGGGGAGATGGGAAGCAGCAGGCTCCCCCAGCCCAGGTTTCTCTACCCTCAGGACCCTGTTCTACAAGTCCTGCTGTCTGCAGACTTAGAAGGATTCCAGCATTTCCCCAGCCGGGAGGAGGCAGGTGAGGCTCTGGGCTGCCCTGGGTGCTCTCCCGGGGCTGGGGTCCCCCAGACTGCTGCTGAAGATGAGTCTGACATTCATCAGGCCCCAGAGCAGCAGTTGGGGGGGCTGCAGGGGCCTGGCTCACGGGAAGGTGAGCAGGAGCCCCTCCAGAGAGTGGGGGGCACTCCGGCCTCAGGGATTCATGGCAAGCCTCGGCTTAACTCTCTGTCCTGCTTCTCCCCCTTCCTGGCTCAGAGCAGTGCGGAGGAGCGGAGCCGGGGGGCAGCGGGACACCCCCTTCCACCAGCACCAGCGAGGCCTCACTGCTGCCCACGGGGCTCATCCAGTGAGTCCAGCATCCCCTCGCCGTCTCCTCTCCTCCGACTGCGCTGTACATCGCGCACAGTGTCTGTGACACCCCGGTGACATCCGACCAACACCTTCCACGTCCTGTCTCCTGGGTGGCTGCTGGGAGGTCTGGGAGCCTGGGACCATCCCTCTGTCCCGCACAGAGGTGGGCAGAGCAAGACTGAGGACAGATGATCTGTGGAAGGGATTAGTGGGGCAAAACCATTCCCTGTCATGGTCATCAGGAAATCCCTCCTCCAGGCCTTCCCCATCCTCGAAACTGCTGTCTTTTTTTAATCAGCTGTTTTAATTCTGGAGACTTTTTTTAATTCTGGGCCATACCGAGTGCTGCCTGACTTGTCAAAGCGAGTTTCGGGGATGCTGGTGCTGCCCTCCAAGGCCGTGCTGCGGCTCCCAACCTCAGGCTGCTGGGAGATGAAAAACATCCGTGTTTTTACTCCTTACTGATCCCCCTTGGTTTGTGGGGTGTTCTGCCAAACGCTGCCATCGGACCACCCCCCCTTGGTGCAGCCCTGCGCCTGGCACCCGAGGGGACAGGGACTGTGAGACCAACTTGTCCTTACTTTGCTGTGAAATGGGTGCAAAAAGCGATAGTGCTGTCAGGCAGTGGGGCTGGGGGGGCAGAGGGCAGGAGTTTTCCTGAACTGCCCTTGGCTGACCCCCCCGTAAGGAGTGTATAATAAAGCAGTAATTGCCAATGAGTCAGCGCGATCTCTGCCTTTGGGGAAAGCTCTTGGCTTTTGTGTGGGAAGGAAAAATGAAGTTCTAATTTCAGGGCTCTGCTGAGCAAACCAAGGAAAAGAAACTGAAACTGGGTGCAGGGGTTGAAGTTGCCTCTGGCACAGCCTCTCCGATCAAAGCTTTCGCAGGCGTTGCAGGGGTGACAGACGTGCCCGGGAGCCAAAACAGGTCCTGCTGCCAGGGCCTGGAGGACCGTTTTGGCAGCCCTCGCCCCACGGGCAGCAGGTGAGTGTTTGGAGGACTGGAAGGGCACACGCACCCTCTCTGCCCGGACAAGGTGAAGATCTGACCCGTTCCTCTCCCGGCTGTGGGGCAGTGTGGGGTTGTGCCGTGCAAGCGGCTCCGTGCACCCGGGAAGGAGCTCAGCGGGACAGCGGCAGGAGGGGTCTCAGGGAACCCCCTTCCTGGGGATGTTGGGAGATGCAGGAGTGGGAGAAGAGAGGGGTAAGGGGGTAAAAAGATCCTGGGGGTGGGGTGGGTGTGTAAATAGCGTGTGTACTCGAGCTCGTGCGTGCAAGTGAGTGTG